CCACGAGTTACAGCTCCCCAGTGTCATGTAACCAGGCACGGAGATCTCTGTACTATCACTGCCACGAGTTACAGCTCCCCAGTGTCGTGTAACCAGGCATGGAGATCTCTGTACTATCTCTACCACGAGTTACAGCTCCCCAGTGTCATGTAACCAGGCACGGAGATCTCTGTACTATCACTGCCACGAGTTACAGCTCCCCAGTGTCATGTAACCAGGCACGGAGATCTCTGTACTATCACTGCCACGAGTTACAGATCCCCAGTGTCATGTAACCAGGCATGGAGATCTCTGTACTATCACTGACACGAGTTACAGCTCCCTAGTGTCATGTAACCAGGCACGGAGATCTCTGTACTATCACTGACACGAGTTACAGCTCCCTAGTGTCATGTAACCAGGCATGGAGATCTCTGTACTATCACTGCCACGAGTTACAGCTCCCTAGTGTCATGTAACCAGGCACGGAGATCTCTGTACTATCACTGCCACCAGTTACAGCTCCCCAGTGTCATGTAACCAGGCACGGAGATCTCTGTACTATCACTGCCACCAGCTCCCCAGTGTCATGTAACCAGGCACGGAGATCTCTGTACTATCACTGCCACGAGTTACAGCTCCCCAGTGTCATGTAACCAGGCACGGAGATCTCTGTACTATCACTGCCACGAGTTACAGCTCCCCAGTGTCATGTAACCAGGCACGGAGATCTCTGTACTATCACTGCCACGAGTTACAGCTCCCCAGTGTCATGTAACCAGGCACGGAGATCTCTGTACTATCACTGCCACGAGTTACAGCTCCCCAGTGTCATGTAACCAGGCACGGAGATCTCTGTACTATCACTGCCACAAGTTACAGCTCCCCAGTGTCGTGTAACCAGGCAGGGAGATCTCTGTACTATCACTGCCACGAGTTACAGCTCCCCAGTGTCGTGTGACCAGGCAGGGAGATCTCTGTACTATCACTGCCACGAGTTACAGCTCCCCAGTGTCATGTAACCAGGCACGGAGATCTCTGTACTATCACTGCCACAAGTTACAGCTCCCCAGTGTCATATAACCAGGCACGGAGATCTCTGTACTATCACTGCCACCAGCTCCCCAGTGTCATGTAACCAGGCACGGAGATCTCTGTACTATCACTGCCACGAGTTACAGCTCCCCAGTGTCGTGTAACCAGGCACGGAGATCTCTGTACTATCACTGCCACGAGTTACAGCTCCCCAGTGTCGTGTAACCAGGCACGGAGATCTCTGTACTATCACTGCCACGAGTTACAGCTCCCCAGTGTCATGTAACCAGGCACGGAGATCTCTGTACTATCTCTACCACGAGTTACAGCTCCCCAGTGTCATGTAACCTGGCAAGAAACAAGCCATGACTGTCTCCACACACAGTACTATCCCCGCAGCTATTTTATTTCGTTTGGTTATCAGGTTTAATTTCCAATTCATATTTCAACAATCATGTAAATACCACAGCGAAAGTGTAAGGGGGAAGGAAATTGGTTGCTTTTCCGTCAGCCTGTAATCTCGAAACAATCTGTTACAACAAACAAACGTACATGCATCTAGGAAATTGAAAGTTAGTCGTACCACGGGACGAAAAGTCTGATTTGGGGCAATTTAAACAAACGCAAATACAACAGAAAATGCATGTGATGACCTGATTTACGTATTTGATCATCGTGTATGAAAAAGCACCATAGTCATGTCTGCTCAGACCGGCTTTACAGTCATTTTCAAGCATGAATTTAAAAGATGATACTTGATCATAGAGTATGCCAATGTGTTTCTTTAGATTGTACTACGTGCTGAAATTTCCGACTCCTTTCTAAGTTTACAAGGGTTTGAAATATGGAATTTCCTTATACGCGGAAACAGTTGCAAATTTTCAAACATTATCATGCCTTAGAAGTTTTTTGTATCATTTTGGGTAGGGTATGTATTAGCATACAAGCTGACACAAGCTGGTCATAGATGCTTCCACTATGTGAAATATTGGGTGCTTATTGCTTCATTTTCACTAATGCTGATGCCTTTGCCATCAAGGCACATATGACCTCATTTACCCTATAACGCTGAGGACGGCCTCCGTGGTCTAGTTGTAGAGCGTCCGCCCGGAGAGCGGAAGGTCCAGGGATCGATACCTAGCCGCGTCATACCAAAAGACGTTAAATGATGGTACTTGTTGTAACCCTGTCTGGCGCTCGGCATTAAGGGGCTAAAACAAGGACTGGTCGGCTCGGAGTCAGTATACTGTGTCTTAGTGCGATATTCATTTTAAACTGCGGATTGGTATATTAGTGAGCTAGCACTAAAAATCGGCATCAGTCCGGACTAGTACACCTGCATCCGTACCCGAACCCGTACACGCACCCGCACCCGCACCCGCACCCGCACTCGCACCCGCACCCGCACCCGCACCCGCACCTGCATCCGCACACGAACCCGTACACGCACCCGAACCCGCACCCGAACCCGCATCCGCACCCGCACCCGCACCCGCACCCGCACACGCACACGCACCCGAACCCGCACCCGAACCCGCATCCGCATCCGCATCCGCACCCGCACCCGCACCCGCACCCGAACCCGCACACGCACCCGCACCCGCACCCACACCCGCACCCGCACCCGCACACGCACCCGCACCCGAACCCGCATCCACACCCGCACCCACACCCGCACCCGCACCCGCACCCGCACACGCATCCACACCTGCACCCGCATCCACACCCGCACCCGCACCCGCAACCGCACCCGCAACCGCACCCGCACCCGCACCCACACCCGCACCCGCACCCGCACCTGCACCTGCACCCGCACCCGTGTAAACGTTACAAACAAAACACGCGGATGTAAAAGTGTGACGCAAGTCTCAATATACTTCTGTATGAATCTAAATATAACTCTCAAAGTACACACTGCCACATGTAACCTAGGCTACTATATCAGGTAATCTTGGACGCGACGTTAAACCCCATTTCGCCTCACCTCACTATATCAGGTGTGGTTGTACGCGTGTGGCTCAGCTTGCGTATTGTAATGTAGAAAACACTCACTCTGTCCTCAGTCAAATGGTTTTTCGCTCATGATCACGTGACCCTATCACACACATCCAGGCCCCGAGGAAATAAAAGTCCAGTTTCCATGGCAGCACTTTCCCCACCTGAGGTAAGTTAAACATCTGGGAAGAGAAAGATGTTGCTAGAGGTGGGGAAGAAATGGCCATGGATGTTCCTCACCCGGAGGTTTAGCTTCAGCTATTTCGTGCCCGGGCAAATGGCCAGGGCAAGCTGTAGCCTGGTAGGGTAGTCGGGCATACCTCTTACTTTGTCGTGGTATTCATTGTATGAGCTTATTAATCACATCAGTTCATCCCCAACCCCCATTCGCACACAGGCACAATGTCGACAAAGGTAGAAGGGTCTATAGCGGAACGTCGCCTTACTTCGTAAATATGTATGACTCTAGGGTGTTTTTAACAAGGAATAATACAGCCAGTTAACTAATCTCTCTGTTAAGGTAATAACATAATGAGATTGTCAACAATTCAAATGCAGATTGACAACAGCAGTTGTTTTACTGAGTTTCCCGCATTATGGTCGCATTCCCATATCGCTATTTGTCAAGAAATATATATAGAAGGTGAAACTGTTGTCACAGCTTGTCCTTCAATTACATTGAACTATAAGGAGTGAGTGAGTGAGTGAGTATGGTTTTACGCCGCTTTTAGCAATATTCCAGCAATATCACGGCGGGGGACACCAGAAATGGGCTTCACACATTGTACCCATGTTGGGAATCGAACACGGGTCTTCGGCGTGACGAGCGAACGCTTTAACTGAGTTACTGAGAAACATTGACGCTATGTTGTATCTCTGACTGAAATACTCGGACTAGTGTTCAAACCTTATGTCGCATATGTTCTTCTGGGCGCCGTACGCGTTCCGCAAAGCGATCTTAGCGCTACGACTGTCTTAAGCCAGTGTTAAAGTATGGGAGTTACGATCACCTTAGCGCTACGACTATCGTAAGCCAGTGTTAAAGTATGGGAGTTACGATCACCTTAGCGCTACGACTATCGTAAGCCAGTGTTAAAGTATGGGAGTTACGATCACCTTAGCGCTACGACTGTCGTAAGCCAGTGTTAAAGTATGGGAGTTACGATCACCTCAGCGCTAAGACTATCGTAAGCCTATGTTAAAGTATGGGAGTTACGATCACCTCAGCGCTAAGACTGTCGTAAGCCAGTGTTTAAGTATGGGAGTTACGATCACCTTAGCGCTACGACTGTCGTAAGCCAGTGTTTAAGTATGGGAGTTACGATCACCTTAGCGCTACGACTGTTGTAAGCCTATGTTAAAGTATGGGAGTTACGATCACCTCAGCGCTCTGACTGTCGTAAGCCAGTGTTTAAGTATGGGAGTTACGATCACCTTAGCGCTACGACTGTCGTAAGCCAGTGTTTAAGTATGGGAGTTACGATCACCTTAGCGCTACGACTGTCGTAAGCCAGTGTTTAAGTATGGGAGTTACGATCACCTTAGCGCTAAGATGGCTTTGTGGAACGGAGCCCTGGAAGCCTCAACACAGGGACCACCGTGGACACATGTTTTGTAAGTGTGTTTGTTGTTTAACATCCCGCTTAGTCATAATCCATCAACATGACGGCTGTCTGTAAATAATCAAGTCTGGACCAGACAATACAGTGATTGACATGATGAACATCGACCGGGATACATTGACAGGCATCAACCAAGTCAGCGAGCCTGACCACCCGATCCCGTTAATCGCCTTTTACGGCAAGCATGGGTTGCTGAAGACCTATTCGACCCCGGATCTTGTCAGATGTATCTCACGTGTAGGGCTGTTGTGAAGGCTAAGTATTGATTATGTAAAACGCTTGATGAGGATAAATACAGAATAAAAAAGTTCAACAAGAAAAGCCTGGGTTAATGGAAATATACTTCTCAAAATTTATGCACGTTCACAGGAACACAACACTGCTTTTTTGCGGCCACAACTGTCACCGGCATTACCCGCACCACAGACACCACCCGCACCATTGACACCACCGACGTCACCCACATCATCGCCACCACGAGCACCACAAGCACCACAAGCACAGCGCCCTCTACCGGTAAGTACCTGAGTATATGCTGCACTGAATTGTCCTCCCTTGGCACTCGACCGCCTTCTGATTTAGAGGAGAGAGCGTCTACGGAATTCCAGTGGTTCGATCCCCTTGTCGCCCCTACCAAAAGACATTAAATGATTGTACTTGTACTGCCTGGCGTTCGGCATTAAGGGGCTAAAACAAGGACTTGTGGGCTCGGAGTCAGTATACTGTATCTGTGTGGGATGTCCATGTTAAACTGAGGCACTATAAGTCCGACAGAAGTTCGGACCAGTAAAGAGTGAGTGAGTGAGTGAGTATGGTTTTACGCCGCTTTTAGCAATATTCCAGCAATATCACGGCGGGGGACACCAGAAATGGGCTTCACACATTTTACCCATGTCGGGAATTGAACCTGGGTCTTCGGCGTGACGAGCGAACGCTTTAACCACTAGGCTACCCGACCGCCCCAGACCAGTAAAGAAACCATACACACCACATGTACGTGAACAGTCTTGAACGCGACGTTAAACGCACATGATACTTGCTTGATGGTAGCGACCTACATCAATCCTAATGACTCGTTCCTGTAGAGACAGAACAACGTATTAGTTCAACCATACGTATGAGGTTGCCAAAAAGACCAGGGTTTACACATGGGTTCGAACCCAAATCGCCGGCGTGACCAGCTAAGCCGTTATCAGTCAAGCTACATCACCACGGGAATGATCTGCAAAGTTGTCCCTACGACAAAATCAATTTACCTGATTTCTTAAATAGTAACTAAACCAAATCAATCCAATTTTCGTTCTTATGCTGTCTCATGCGTAGTCATTAAATACATTCAGTCTTTCCACGAGGTATGGTTTCATTATTCGCCGGCAATATTGTGTGTGCGTGCGTGAAGGGGGGGGGGGGGGGGGGGTGGGGGGGGGCGGGCGACTAGGTGCCTTGCTCTGTGTCCTGGTTCCAATGTGCTGGCGACTAGGTGCCTTGCTCTGTGTCTGGGTTCCAATGTGCTGGCGACTAGGTGCCTTGCTCTGTGTCTGGGTTCCAATGTGCCGGCGACTAGGTGCCTTGCTCTGTGTCTGGGTTCCAATGTGCCGGCGACTAGGTGCCTTGCTCTGTGTCCTGGTTCCAATGTGCCGGCGACTAGGTGCCTTGCTCTGTGTCCTGGTTCCAATGTGCTGGCGACTAGGTGCCTTGCTCTGTGTCCTGGTTCCAATGTGCTGGCGACTAGGTGCCTTGCTCTGTGTCCTGGTTCCAATGTGCTGGCGACTAGGTGCCTTGCTCTGTATCCTGGTTCCAATGTGCTGGCGACTAGGTGCCTTGCTCAGTGTCTGGGTTCCAATGTGCTGGCGACTAGGTGCCTTGCTCTGTGTCCTGGTTCCAATGTGCTGGCGACTAGGTGCCTTGCTCTGTGTCTGGGTTCCAATGTGCTGGCGACTAGGTGCCTTGCTCTGTGTCCTGGTTTCAATGTGCTGGCGACTAGGTGCCTTGCTCTGTGTCTGGGTTCCAATGTGCTGGCGACTAGGTGCCTTGCTCTGTGTCCTGGTTCCAATTTGCTGGCGACTAGGTGCCTTGCTCTGTGTCCTGGTTCCAATTTGCTGGCGACTAGGTGCCTTGCTCTGTGTCTGGGTTCCAATGTGCCGGCGACTAGGTGCCTTGCTCTGTGTCTGGGTTCCAATGTGCCGGCGACTAGGTGCCTTGCTCTGTGTCCTGGTTCCAATGTGCTGGCGACTAGGTGCCTTGCTCTGTGTCCTGGTTCCAATGTGCTGGCGACTAGGTGCCTTGCTCTGTGTCCTGGTTCCAATGTGCTGGCGACTAGGTGCCTTGCTCTGTGTCCTGGTTCCAATGTGCTGGCGACTAGGTGCCTTGCTCTGTGTCTGGGTTCCAATGTGCTGGCGACTAGGTGCCTTGCTCTGTGTCCTGGTTCCAATGTGCTGGCGACTAGGTGCCTTGCTCTGTGTCTAGGTTCCAATGTGCTGGCGACTAGGTGCCTTGCTCTGTGTCCTGGTTCCAATGTGCTGGCGACTAGGTGCCTTGCTCTGTGTCTGGGTTCCAATGTGCTGGCGACTAGGTGCCTTGCTCTGTGTCCTGGTTCCAATGTGCTGGCGACTAGGTGCCTTGCTCTGTGTCCTGGTTCCAATGTGCCGGCGACTAGGTGCCTTGCTCTGTGTCCTGGTTCCAATGTGCTGGCGACTAGGTGCCTTGCTCTGTGTCCTGGTTCCAATGTGCTGGCGACTAGGTGCCTTGCTCTGTGTCCTGGTTCCAATGTGCTGGCGACTAGGTGCCTTGCTCTGTGTCCTGGTTCCAATGTGCTGGCGACTAGGTGCCTTGCTCTGTGTCCTGGTTCCAATGTGCTGGCGACTAGGTGCCTTGCTCTGTGTCTGGGTTCCAATGTGCTGGCGACTAGGTGCCTTGCTCTGTGTCCTGGTTCCAATGTGCTGGCGACTAGGTGCCTTGCTCTGTGTCTGGGTTCCAATGTGCTGGCGACTAGGTGCCTTGCTCTGTGTCCTGGTTCCAATGTGCTGGCGACTAGGTGCCTTGCTCTGTGTCTGGGTTCCAATGTGCTGGCGACTAGGTGCCTTGCTCTGTGTCCTGGTTCCAATGTGCTGGCGACTAGGTGCCTTGCTCTGTGTCCTGGTTCCAATGTGCTGGCGACTAGGTGCCTTGCTCTGTGTCCTGGTTCCAATGTGCTGGCGACTAGGTGCCTTGCTCTGTGTCCTGGTTCCAATGTGCTGGCGACTAGGTGCCTTGCTCTGTGTCCTGGTTCCAATGTGCTGGCGACTAGGTGCCTTGCTCTGTGTCCTGGTTCCAATGTGCTGGCGACTAGGTGCCTTGCTCTGTGTCCTGGTTCCAATGTGCTGGCGACTAGGTGCCTTGCTCTGTGTCCTGGTTCCAATGTGCTGGCGACTAGGTGCCTTGCTCTGTGTCCTGGTTCCAATGTGCTGGCGACTAGGTGCCTTGCTCTGTGTCTGGGTTCCAATGTGCTGGCGACTAGGTGCCTTGCTCTGTGTCCTGGCTCCAATGTGCTGGCGACTAGGTGCCTTGCTCTGTGTCCTGGTTCCAATGTGCTGGCGACTAGGTGCCTTGCTCTGTGTCCTGGTTTCAATGTGCTGGCGACTAGGTGCCTTGCTCTGTGTCCTGGTTCCAATGTGCTGGCGACTAGGTGCCTTGCTCTGTGTCTGGGTTCCAATGTGCTGGCGACTAGGTGCCTTGCTCTGTGTCCTGGCTCCAATGTGCTGGCGACTAGGTGCCTTGCTCTGTGTCCTGGTTCCAATGTGCTGGCGACTAGGTGCCTTGCTCTGTGTCCTGGTTCCAATGTGCTGGCGACTAGGTGCCTTGCTCTGTGTCCTGGTTCCAATGTGCTGGCGACTAGGTGCCTTGCTCTGTGTCTGGGTTCGAAATCCACCAAAACCTGTACCATACTACCGGGCAAAAGAAAGTTCTCACTTTAAAAATAGTTGCATAAAAATATAAAAAACTGGTAAAGGGTTGAACCTCCGCAGAAAAAACATTCGCCCAAATACAACATGACCACAACCACAACGCAGATTTTCGAACGCAGCTTTCCAAATCATGCATTGTTGAAAACGTGCAAAACGTGATTTCGAGACATTGGTCCAAATGCACGTGCGTGATTGTGGCATAAATACCGACGTTGGACAGAGCAGGCATTCAATAAGCAAAAAAACACCAAGAATATGCCCAGACTTACACAAGCGCAACGAGACAGAGCGATCGGTATGCCCAATATGGGGGCTACTCAACGTCAGATAGCCAGAACCTGCAACTGCTCCCAGACCACCATCAGCAAGTTGATAATCGGTTACCAACAGACAGGACAGGCTCAAGACCGGCCAACATCGGGAAGACCGAGGGTGACAACACCGGCCGAAGACCGCTACATCCGGCAGATTCACCTCCGAAACAGATGTGTGACGGCGACGTCAACGGCGCCAACAGCACTAAGGCATGCCATCAGCAGACGAACAGTCCTTCGACAAGTTCGTACGGCTGATATACGAGCCTACCGACCCTTCCGTGGAATGGCCTTGACCCGTCTACACCGTCAACGCAGACTGCAATGGGCACGAACTGTACGTCGGTGGCAGCGACGTGACTGGGCGAGAGTGCTCTTTACAGATAAAAGTCGGTTCTGTCTGTTCAGGAACGATGGCAGAGTTCGAGTTTTTCGACGAAGGGGAGAGCGACTGGCGCCAAACTGCATTAGAGAAGTTCACCCGTTTGGGGGTGGAGGCGTCATGGTATGGGGTGGCATTTGTCGCCAGATTACAACACGGCTGGTTATCATCCGAGGTAACCTGAATGCTCAGCGATACAGGGATGAAGTGTTGAGACCTGTTGTGGTGCCCTTTATTCAACATCAGCCAAGAGGATTAATTTTGCAACAAGACAGCGCAAGGCCTCACACCGCCCAAATTGTTCAAGACTACCTGAACAACGTTAACGTCAACGTATTGCCCTGGCCACATTGTTCTCCAGACATGAACCCCATTGAACATTTCTGGGATCACCTTGATCGTCAGATGAGACAACATGTACCGCCTCCAGCGAACCGACAGGAACTTGAACAGACTTATGGAAAAAGGATTCCTGTTGACGTTATCCGCCGACTGACGACGTCAATGAGGAGGCGTGTGTTGGCGTGCATGGATGCCCAGGGTGGTCACACTCGCTATTGATGACGTGTTACCTGACTACTGTGTCATTAATGGACTCTTCATGCACTTTTTCAATGAACTTTGATTTGTGTAATTTTTAATTTGGACCCCTTGACTCTTTCTTTGTGTATAGCGGAGAATGCAATATCGGCATTACAATGCATTTTCATTCTAATTCATGGAAAATGATTTCTTAATCATCATAAATCTCACATATGCCTTTATTATTTGGTGCTTGTTCAAGTGAAGTCGGTGAAAACTTTCTTTTGCCCGGTAGTTTAGAATGTGTATACTTAGACAGTGTAATCCCCAACATATCTTATGTCACACCTGGCCGCGATTGTCAGATAAGGTGAGGTGAAATGGGGTTTAACATCGCGTCCAAGATTATTGCACTTATATAGCGACGTGCATGCACGTGTATGTTTGTGTTTGTGGCTGCTTGTACTAGCCAGACTGATGCCGATTTATAGTGCTAGCACACTGAGATACCATGCCGCAGTTTAACATGAATACCCCACTCAGACACAGTATACTGACTCCGAGCCGACCAGTCCTTGTTTTAGCCCCTTAATGCCGAGCGTCAGACAGGGTAACAACAAGTACCATCTTTTAACGTCTTTTGGTATGACGCGTTCAGATTGTCAGATAAAGAATGTAAAGTAGTGATATCATCTCCACTTGAACTGACCAGGCTTTTCTTGCTGAACTTTTCATTCTGTATTTATCCTGAACCAATGTTACAGAATCAATACTTAGCCTTCACAACACCCCTACACGTGAGATACATCTGACAAGATCCGGGGTGGAATAGGTCTTCAGCAACCCATGCTTGCCGTAAAAGGCGACTATGCTTGTCGTGAAAGGCGACTAACGGGATCGGGTGGTCAGGCTCGCTGACTTGGTTGATGCATGTTATCGTTTCCCAATTGCGTGTATCGATGGTCATGATGTCAATCACTGGATTGTCTGGTTCAGACTGATTATGTAGATCGATGCTCATGGTAATAATCGGTGGATCGTCATTCATGGATCAAGAATGAATATTCACACTAAACGCTCAAACGAACACACTCGTCCGTCAGTAGACGACCAGACGGTGGAAACACGAATACGTTCACACCCCCGAAACACAAGTGTCAAAACGTGCGGTTTCACCCTGGGCAAGTGACACAAAAGTGCCTCTGTTTACCCAGCAGGAAATGGGTACCCGACATGTGAGACGTGCATGTAGAAACGTGCTGGCGCCTGTTTGTTTGTTTGTTGTTTAACGCCGCACTCAGCAATATTACGGCTATGTGACGGCGGTCTGAAGATAACCGAGTCTCGACCAGACAGTCCAGTGATTGATATCATGAGCATCGATCCTGGCATCTGTAGGTAGCTTGTGTGGTATACACCCCAGGGAGTTGAGAATGCGGTATATAAATGTTTAATATTAAACTTTCATTGTTCTTTATGTGAAATTTTTATTATATTTTTTCCACATAACAGCTGCGACGTCAACAGCAGCAGCAACAACAGCAGCAACAACAGCAGCAACAACAGCAGCAACAACGACAGCAACAACGACAGCACCAACGACAGCAACAACGACAGCAACAACGACAGCAACAACACCGGAGACGACCTCAAAACCAAATCATTTGTTTATAAACCTGAACACCTCATGTGTGACCGGTCAACTGAAAGTGAACCTGTCATTCTTTAATGTAAGTCCATTTTGCTTGAAAAATTATGTCGAAAAACTATTCCGTTGTGTGTTAAACTTGGTTTGTGGTTTAGTCTGAACTTATAATACTCTCAATAATAATACCATCAATTTGTATACGGAATATAAGATATCTGTGAAATACGACTATACTTGCAAATTCCACTGCCACATCTAGTCTTCTCTGGAGAGGGGGGCACGGGTTGCCCAGTCGTCTAAGGCGCCGCGATTCGCTGTGCAGAGTTGCGTCCCTTAGGCACGCCAGAAACCTATGATTGTGGGTTCGAATCCCGGTTCGCCCCGATTATGTTTCTAGGTTTGTCAGCACCATACCCGTGCTCGTGGGTTTCACCGAAGTGGTAAACGTCTGCGACCTGCATCACTTCGGGCTTTCCTCCCACATTAAGCTGACACGCCGCGATATAACTGGAATACTGTTAAAAGCGGCGTTAAACCAAACTCACTCACTCACTCATTCACTTCTCTGGAGACACCACCATCTACTTTTCAGCTGACCAAATGCCTTTTATATAGTCATCCTTGTGTGACTGAGTCTATGGATCCTGCCTATGAGAAGGACTGAGCTTTGCCTAATTAGTGTAAGGTTTTTAAGCCAAGTTTTAGGGACATCAGGAGGCACGGTAACTGGTATAATAATTTCCTGGAGTAGTAAGTTTTCTTGGCTACTGGGTAAATAGGTCACTGTTTTCGCCTTTATGAGCGAGTAAGTGAGTGAGTGAGTATGGTTTTACGCCGCTTTTAGCAATATTCCAGCAATATCACGGCGGGGGACACCAGAAATGGGCTTCACACATTGTACCCATATCGGGAATCGAACCCGGGTCTTCGGCGTGACGAGCGAACGCTTTAACCACTAAGCTACCCGACCGCCCCTTCGCCTTTATGAAACATTTCTGAATTTCCAAAGAAACTGGCGTCATATTGCTTGACAGCGTATAAGGATCTACAGCGGAACATCGCCTTACTTGGTAAATATGTATGACTGTAGAATGTTTTCAACAAGGAATAATATAGCCAGTTAACTAATCTCTCTGTTTAGGTAATAACATAATGAGATTGTCAACAATTCAAATGCAGATTAACAACACCAGTTGTTTTACTGAGTTTCCCGCATTATGGCCGCAGTCCCGTGTCGCTATTTGTCAAGAAATATATATAGAAGGGGAAACTGTTGTCACCGAACAGCTTGTCCTTCAATTACATTGAACTATAAGAAGTGAGTGAGTATGGTTTTACGCCGCGTTTAGCAATATTCCAGCAATATCACGGCGCTGGACACCAGAAATGGGCTTCACACATTATACCCATGTCGGGAATCGAACCCGGGTCTTCGGCGTGACGAGCGAACGCTTTAACATCTAGGCTACCCGACCCACCAGGCTCTGGACCTCGGTTATCCCCGCACGTTTGTCTCCCGAGTAAGACCCAGTGTTAAACCTGTGCATACAAATATAGGAAACTCTCGTCTTCGCGTCGCCATGAGTAGCCTCTTTTTATTATTTTTTGTTTTAAGAGTGAGTGAGTGAGTGTCTTGTTGAGACGGAACTACTCTGAAACTTACCACAGCAAATATATTTTTCACACGGCAAACTTTTGACATGTGAACGCAAAGTATTTTAACTTCAGCATATTTTGAGCAAATCTGCTCCATATGTGAAAACACTCAAGGGTGTACATAGTGGCAAGTGAATGCATCAGACGCTTTCTTCAAGCATTGGTGACCCGAGATCCCAGCAATTTGTGTACAGAATTCTTATCATAAAATGTACAAGGTTCCTTTTCTTTCGGGGGCACGTGCGGCCCAGTCGTCTAAGATGCCGCGATTCGCTGTGCAGAGTTGCGTCCCTTGGGCACGTAAGCAACCTATGATTGTGGGTTCGAATCCCGGTTCGCCCCGATTATGTTTCTAGGTTTGTCAGCACCGTACTCGTGCTCGTTGGTTTCACCGAAGTGGTAAACGTCTGAGACCTGCATCACTTGGGGCTTTCCTCCCACATTAAGCTGACACGCCGCGATATAACTGGAATATTGTTAAAAACGGCGTAAAATACAACTCACTCACTCACTCCTTTTCTTTCAAGGACACGCGAACTATAGACATCAATGGAACTTGTGACGGAGACAGGCAATATGTCCAGGATTTTATAAATCAACTGACAAAGGACCAGACAATTACCACAACTACAACTACAACGACTGCACCTTCTACGACCACCACATCCACTGAAGGTACCACTGCATCATAGTTCACAAATTTCGAGGCACAAACGCTTTCATATGCTAACAAAGGTCACCATAGGTATTCTGATTTGAAAAGGTTTTTATCAGAATAGTTTCTTCAACCCTGAGTGATTGAATATGTTATTACGCCGCTTTTAGCAATATCCCAGCAACATCACGGCGGGGAACACAAAAATGGGCTTCACGAATTGTACCCATGTCGGGAATCGAACCCGTGTTTTCAACGTGACGAGCGAACGCTTTTACCACTGGGCTACCCGACCGCCCTTCTTCAACCATGACTATCAAACGTAGAATAGGTCTTTAGCAACCCATGCATTATTCTTGTCGTAAGAGGCGAATAAAGGGATCGGGTGGTATGACTTGGTTGATTTAGTCATGGTATCCCAATTGTGTGGATCGATGCTCATGATGTCAATCACTTGATTGTCAGGTCCAGACGCGATTATTTAAAGACCGCCGTCATATAGCTGGGATATTGCTGAGTGCGGCGTTAAATAACAAATCACAAACCATTCAATCAGATACTTCATAGATATCACTAGGTTTTCAACGGCTGCTTCACAATGTCGCCGGCGTGTGGGAGATGTGAAAAGGAGCTGAGTAGCAACAACACTGTGTCAAACTTCACAAAGTCGTATGCTGTTTTCGCAAAGTCGTTTGCTGTTTTCGCAAAGTCAACACACCAACGTCTATGTATCGTCAAACTTAGATTGAGATACTGTGTGTTGTCTTTTCAGGTCAGTGGTCTGGCATCGGGATCGGTATCGGGGCAGGGGCGGTGGGTCTTCCATGCCTAGTCTCACTGCTGCTCTACGTGTTCCGACGTCGTATCTGTGAGTAGTCGTCAGGCGAACACGCCACTAAGACGGATGTCACATTGGCTGCTACATACCGACAGACTAACACGCCACTAAGATGGATGTCAAACTGCTACATACCGAAAGACTAAGACACTACTAAGATGGATGTCAAACTGCTATATACCGAAAGACTAAGACACTACTAAGATGGATGTCAAACTGCTATATACCGACAGACTAAGACGCCACTAAGACGGATGTCAAACTGCTACATACCGACAGACTGAGACGCCACTAAGACGGATGTCAAACTGCTACATACCGACAGACTAAGACGCCACTAAGACGGATGTCACATTGGCTGCTACATACCGACAGACTAAGACACTACTAAGATGGATGTCAAACTGCTACATACCGACAGACTAAGACGCCACTAAAATGGATGTCAAACTGCTACATACCGACAGACTAAGACGCCACTAAGATGGATGTCAAACTGCTATATACCGACAGACTAACACGCCACTAAGATGGATGTCAAACTGCTACATACCGAAAGACTAAGACACTACTAAGATGGATGTCAAACTGCTATATACCGACAGACTAAGACGCCACTAAGACGGATGTCAAACTGCTACATACCGACAGACTGAGACACTACTAAGATGGATGTCAAACTGCTATATACCGAAAGACTAAGACACTACTAAGATGGATGTCAAACTGCTATATACCGACAGACTAAGACGCCACTAAGACGGATGTCAAACTGCTACATACCGACAGACTGAGACGCCACTAAGACGGATGTCTAACTGCTACATACCGACAGACTAAGACGCCACTAAGACGGATGTCACATTGGCTGCTACATACCGACAGACTAAGACACTACTAAGATGGATTTCAAACTGCTACATACCGACAGACTAAGACGCCACTAAAATGGATGTCAAACTGCTACATACCGACAGACTAAGACGCCACTAAGATGGATGTCAAACTGCTATATACCGACAGACTAACACGCCACTAAGATGGATGTCAAACTGCTACATACCGAAAGACTAAGACACTACTAAGATGGATGTCAAACTGCTATATACCGACAGACTAAGACGCCACTAAGACGGATGTCAAACTGCTACATACCGACAGACTGAGACGCCACTAAGATGGATGTCAAACTGCTACATACCGACAGACTAAGACGCCACTAAGACGGATGTCACATTGGCTGCTACATACCGACAGACTAAGACGCCACTAAGATGGATGTCAAACTGCTATATACCGACAGTCTAAGACACCACTAAGATGGATGTCAAACTGCTACATACCGACAGACTAAGACGCCACTAAGATGGATGTCAAACTGCTACATACCGACAGACTAAGACGCCACTAAGATGGATCTCAAACTGCTATATACCGACAGTCTAAGACACCACTAAGATGGATGTCAAACTGCTACATACCGACAAACTAAGGCACCACTAAGACGGATGTCAAACTGCTACATACCGAAAGACTAAGACACTACTAAGATAGATGTCAAACTGCTACATACCGAGAGACTAAGACACTACTAAGATGGATGTCAAACTGCTACATACCGACAGACTAAGACGCCACTAAGATCGGATGTCAAACTGCTACATGCCGACAGACTAAGATGCCACTAAGACGGATATCAAACTGCTACATGCCGACAGACTAAGATGCCACTAAGATTGATGTGAAACTGCTACATACCGAAAGACTAAGACACTACTAAGACGGATGTCAATCTGCTACATACCGACAGACTAAGACACTACTAAGACGGATGTCAAACTGCTACATACCGACAGTCTAAGACGCCACTAAGACGGATGTCAAACTGCTGTATCCCGACAGACTAAGAC